TTTTTTCCAAACCGCCCCCCCCCCCCCCCCCCCCCCCCCCCCCCCCCGCACACCGGCCCGTGTGACAGACCTGCCGGCACGCGACCGCCGAGACGGGGGTGTGCTGTTATGAGCTGAGCCTGGTGCCCAGCTGATGGCTAATATGGGAGCAGGAGGAATCCCACAGCTCAGGAGACAGCAAGCGGCCCCCACTCAGCCGGACAGCCAGACGGCCCCCACCCGCATATGGCCCCACCGCTCCGCCAGGCTACTGCCACCATCACCTCCTCTGGGGAGGATACAGATGTGTGCTCTCCAGACAAGGACTGGAAGAGGGGCCCTTGGCCGCCACGCACCCTGCTGGTCCACGTTGCCACTGCGGCAGCGTCGTAGGGCGTTCGCGGCATAATCTAATAATACCCCACAGTTCCAATCTCCGGAATTCACCGAGTCGTGAAGGGGGGGGGAGACTCTCTGGGCCGTTTCATCACTAATAAGGTGCCCGATAGCCCCACCCCCCGCCCCCAACCCATGCGCCCGGCGTCTTTATCGAAGGCGACGCGGCTCTCCAGAACTCCATACCACAACCCCCCAAAAACGTCTCCCACCCGGCATGCTGAAAATTGGAGCCGATTTGATGGCAAGATCAAAAAAAGACAAAAAGAGGAAGTTGGGGAGTTGGGCGGGGGAAGTCGGGCTGTGGGTAGCCTCACGCGCCGCCAGTGACTGGAGATCCTCGCAGGAAGGCCGTGGCGCGGCTGCAGCGGCTAATGCCACATGACGCAGGGAGAAAAGGCGGGTGTGGGGGGGTGGGCACTTCAGAGGGATTTGGGCGGGGGGGGGCTGTCAATGTTGACTCTCCCCAGCCGGCAGAGAACAGACGGCACCGGCAGGCACATCGCAGCCAATTCGGCGCTTATCTGAGGAGCGCGGTCTCCCCCGAAAAACAGCACCGATCCATCTGTGACATGATGCAACAGTGGCCTGGGCCGCATGGGTACGCTGTGAGCCACAGATGTGTCCCCGAATGATGGCGTGTAACACACGTGTCCGTGCGCTCGATGCCACATGGCAGCTTCTAATAAATAGCCCATAACGTAGACATCTGTAGAATGAAAGGTACAACAGCAGTTCCCAGCCATGTCACACCTCTTGTTGCCATGCAATGTGGATGGTGCATATTTCACAGGGCCTCTGCTGGGGAGGACAGTCAGTAGAGTTGGGGTGGGGGGGAGGGGGCTTTACTGGCACAACCAAACAGTACCTAAGGCTGGTCCAGCTGCTCTGACCAACACCGAGGCTCTGACATTGTTTGTCTTGGGGGGCCAGGTTAAGAACTTGGATCAGACAGATGAATATCGGCATTTGGAGGACACAGGTCCACCTTGTGGGGGGGAACTTGGCTTCCACTTGCACAGACGTGGAGCTCAATGCGAATCCCGTAGCGAATCCCGTAGCGAATCCCGTAGCGAGACACCTTAGTATCCATACATCTGTATGGCTGAGATGCGTGTCAGTCACCCGACAGACTCACTGTATGTTTTTTTCATCATGCTCCAGCCCTCTTCCGTTATTTGCACAGCTGCATGTTTACTGACGGTCACGTGTTTAAAACCTACAGCTTTATGACCACGGCTACATGCCCTCCCCCCATGAACTGTCACACTGTTTCAGCGGCCCGGACGGCTTGCCGTGGCAGACCATCCACTCGGACGCTCCCCCGGATGCGACGGACCCGCAGCCCGCGTGCGAGCACAGCTCTGGCACAGCGGCGGCTAGGCTAATGTCTTCCCCAGGAATCGGACACAGGGGGCGGAGGACAAACAAAAGCCACTCTGCTATATCAGTTTAGTTAGCGGGAGAGTTAGGGGATGAGTTACGGCCTGAGCGCCACTGGGGGGCCTGTATTTACGAGGCTGCTGAGTGAGTGTTAAATCCCTGGTAAGATATAAAGTCATCGGCGGGCAGAGAGAGCAAACATTTCACTCCGTCTAAAAGGTGGTTAGGAGAAATGAAAGCTGTTTCTCTTCCCGGGGAGGCGCTAGTCCTGACTCAAACGATTGCTGGGGGCCAGGGAGGGGGAGGGCAGTGCTACAAAAAAAGGAATTGCAATCAAGTGGCATGAAGCTTTAAATCGTATTTGAATGGCACTGAATATTCCCAGCGTTCTCTGGAGAGGCGGGGAACTGGGGGCACAAAGCCGCTGAAGTCGGCTGCTGTTCTGTGCAGGACCCCATCACAGCCACTGCCAACACTGGCAGGACCCCATCACAGCCACTGCCAACACTGGCAGGACCCCATCACAGCCACTGCCAACACTGGCACTTGTTGCTTCAGCCGCTTGTTCACTTT